TGCAACCAGGCAGTCACACATTTCTCTGACCACACAAATTAGAGCCCCAGGTACTTTACCTTCTTTGTAAGCCTTGATTATCTCTTTGATCTGTGCTTTTGTCCGGGATGCCAGGATCTCTATGATAACATCTTCACTTGTTCCTACACCCTTTAATAGAAAACATAGTGGAGAAATAAAGGTGGGAAAGGCATCTAGTCAGGAAGTGTAATTTATTGCTAAAGAAATATGGTCAAGGGAGGAGTCGGATGGCAGCAAAGTGTTAGGCTGTATGCTGAGCTGTGAGAAACTGTCAGGATGAAAGCTGGAGACACAAAGCACATTTGTTTTGAACGTGGTTTGTTTTACTGAGGTGCCTAATTTGCTTCTATTATGATTTTCTGGATCTGGATCTTTGACAACAGAGTGTTAGAGGGATAGATTCTATGATGTGGGTTGACCGATGCTTGCCTAGTCAATCCGTTTTAATAGACCTCTCTGCATCTGAAACTTGAAAAGATATCTTATCAATAGGTAAGATGCCAGCCAAACCCAGCCTGACTCTCTCACCACCACTCCTTGATTTCTTAAGGGTTTCACGTCTCAGGTGGGGCACCAGGGCAATAGCTTTGTGTCACTGAGCTTCATCCGCAAGAGATGCTGCAGAAAGCAGCAAAGCAATGTTTAACTGAAAACTGTCATCTGTGGCTGTTCATTCCTTGCCAAAGCTGAGTTTAGTTTTGCTGTTGCCTTCCCCAGGCTCTATGAGACATATATGTACAGAAACTCTCACACACCCCTAAATATTAAAGGAACATTTTCCCCCAGATATGCATTAATAGCACAATTAACTATTTCTCAAAGGCTATTGCTAATAACAAACTTAATCATGTAACAGTCCAGTTACTATCACTTGTGTTAATAAGCACAGTTACAGGAAATTAACACTGGATCCATGCTGCTACTTAAGTATCAGCATGCAATTTGCTTACCTTCATGGCATCATGGAGCTCCTTGGCGTCATACTTGAATGGGGAGTACATGAGAGCTACAATGAGCCTCTCAAAGTCACCACTCAGTTCAGACTTCAGGCTTTCAATGAGATCCTGTTAAACATACACCACGTGGTTATATAAAAAGCTTCAGAAGACCTCTTTACTGCCTGGTGCTGTTTCCATCCCATGGCCTACAGCAATGAAGCTGAACAACCATATTCTGTTGATAGTTTATTAGAAAAGGCCCAGGGACCTAACTCCAAAGACCCTGACCTGTCTCCAAAATGGGATTTGTCTACGTCCTTCCGCCTCCCTTGTTGTCCCATTACTCAAGCTTCTGCAGGTACTAATTAATTCTGCAGCAGAGTAGGGAAGATGAAAATCTCCCCACACCATGAGTGAGCAGAACCAGGCAGCTGAAGGCCTTGAACTGAGCAAGGGGTGTAGCTCCAGACAGCCGATTCCCAAAGCCTGCAGAGAAACATGCACCCAGGACTTTTGCAGAATCAGGCACGCAATCTGTCTGAAGAGACTTCAAACTTCCCTTTCCCTGCAATGCAGGTTTGTTAGGGTACGACTCACCCTGTTTCAGGGGGATGCAAGCACTCTATTCATTGTCCCACACTCGACACCCCCCCCTCATTTGCTTCCCGTTCTTAGGTCCCTGCATAGCAGTCCTTCTTCCAGCAAGGGTCATTGGAGACTCTGGTTTCTACACTGACCCAAGGGACTATATTGCTGTTTCCCAATACATTTCCTCCTTTCCCCCTCTTTAACTGTGACTCTCAGGCAACTAGCTCCAGAGTAAGGCTGGTGGAAGAGTTTTCCCATTAAAAGTAAGATTTTATCAAAGACAGAAAGATAGCCACAGCAAAACATGGTTGTCAATAACCGCAGTTTGTTTTCATTTTCAGAATTTCCAAACAATTGTAATTAAATAAGTCCTTAAATTGAACTTTCTTTGGCATTTAGAAAGGCCCCAAACCAAACCAATATTTTTACTCAAAATACCACTTAGAGAGGTATCAATTTTTGTTATAGCTTTGAAAGCAATAAGAAGTTACACTTTAAGTTAAAATGGATTTTTAAAAAATAGTTCTGGTCAAAAGCAATTTATAAAAAAAAATAAAATCTTTGGGGGAAACTCAGCTTTTCTGGCAAAAAAAATAATTTCACAGATTCACTCCAGGTCTTACAAATAAATATTAATCTACTTATTTGCAGAAGACCTGCATATTGTTTACACTATGCTTGTAGGATGAACTGTACACCCATTTACTACATCCTGCATACAGTGAAACAGTGAGTGAATATGGCTTTGTTTTGAAAGAACCTTTCCAAACTGTCCTTTGAAGGATTTGGCAATCTGTTGACGCTGCATATTGCTCCTCTTGGTTAGGACATCAATTATAGCTTGTTCGTCAGTCCCTGTGGAGAGCAACAATAAGCCATAAACACAGTGCAGACTAAGTTGACACCAGTCCAAGATCCCAGTTCAACTATTCGGACAACCTTCCCCAGTTCATTGCCTTCATAATGTATAAGTTTAAGTATGTATTGAGAAAACTTTAATTTTTAATTTTCCACATTAAAAAATGGTATCTCTGGCTGCATTGTTTTTAAGGAATGGCTTTTAACTTGGCAATTATAAGCAGAACATAGGATTTACACATGTGGTTGTAGTCAACTCACCAAGCCCTTTCATAGCTTTGTACAGAGTCTGAGCATCAGGTGTGGGGTCAAAGTTTAAAGCACCTGTCACAGATTTGCCCTCTGCTTCACTCTGAAAGAAGAAAAAAAATATGGGACTTTTCACCGCTGCTTTTCATCAGCTGAAGAAAAAGTACTTTGGAAAGTAAATTAGTATTACTCATTGTCCATTCCCCATTATTCATGGGGAAGGCACAGAAGACTGGAGGGGCTGGTTCAAAGTGTCTCAGCAGAGCTGCAAAGAGACCATGAGTTCCCTGCCTCCAACTGTCTCTGCCAGCCTTTGGCTCCTGGCAGAAACGTGAAGTGCAAAGCATGGCTGACACTGCTGCAACAGTCGTTAGGTGCAGGCAGTCTGAGAGAAAAAGCTGAGTAGGCTAGACTTTCTTATTCACCTGTTAAATACAAGACTTCATAACACATGCTAGCGTATTATACTGCTATTAGGAACTGCATTTCTCGGTGGTTTGGTGCAGGGTAGATTTTACCCATTGTTTTTTGATTTCATAGAATAGTCATGCTCTCACAGACCATTTTTCTAGGTAGCAGATTTATTCTCCTGCTGCTGTTTCACTTGTGCTCAGCTGCTTTCAAGAAGGAAGTAACTCTGCTGGAAAGATTTGGGCCAGGAGACTACCTTGAAGGACCGGATCTATCTGGAGAAGAGCAGGTTTGATGTCCTCCCCTGAACCAAGGCCCAACTACACAAGAATCCTCCAGACAGACCCTTAAGGCACTGCCAGTGCTTAAGTCCCAGGGCAGAAAGACATGCTGAGACTTATTTCAGTCACCACAAGGTAGTGGGGCTACCAAACAGAACCCAGGCTTAAGAGCTTGAATTTAACAAAAGCTGTTAGTCAAGGGACTGGCTTGAATACATTGACGCATCTCTAACAATAAGATCCTATCAACAGGGGAGTGTGAGTGGTTAGTCATAGAGAGTAAAACCACTTTGTTCCAATAATGGACAGAATTTTCTCTTCCTTAGCAGCAGAGAGATTTAAGTTGCCCCAGAAAACTACTGCATTCTCATAAATTTACTTGCAGGGATATGGTTAATATTGAACTAATGATATCAGTATGACTTGATGGATTTTTCAATGGGGGGGAGTCAGATAAAAACACCTTCAGATCAGAGCTTACAGACCAGAAGGAGTCATTATGGCTATCCCATCTGACTTGCATAACACGGACCACCAGGTGCCACCCAGCAGCTTCCTGCTATGGTGCAAATCCCTTCTGCTCCCATGCTAAAGTGGGTTCTATCCCTCTTCTCCTAGAGTGTCATCCAAGTCCTCCCCAGAGAAAAAGCCTTCAAGCGATCCTTGCCAGGTAGAAAAGCTTGTGGAAATTCCCTTCAGGACCTGCATTCCCGGTTTTTAGTGAAAGGCTGGAAGATTAATGGCTGTGCACTCAGGACTGCTTGTCAAAAAATGCCAGGTCTAGCCCCGTGCCACAGCTGAAGCCCATCCACCCTGTGCTGCACAGATGCTCAGGTTGGCTCTGGGCAAACCAGCTCAGGTGTCCTTGTTGACACCATGCTCTGCTGATCGCATGCTGGCCCCTTTGCCAGCCAAGCTCTGGGAGCAGCGACAAGCAAGCGAGGGGCAATGATGGATATCAAGAGAGGCAGTAAGTTCATCAGTGAGGAAGATCTGGAAGAGGTCTTCCGTTTGGAGAAGTTTGCTTTACAGCCAAGCGCAGAGACAGCCTCTTGTGCTACCACACGCTGCTCGCAGCAGAGAGAGCAGCTGCAGAGCGGGCGGCGTCAACAGGAAACTTCTTACTACATGCAGCTTTGAGTCCCAAGGACTACTAAGCAGCAAATTTAAGGCTGTGGTGAAGCTGCCACTGCAGAAAAAACAATGACAAACTAAAGCATTGCCACCCCCAAAAGTTTGTCATCAGTCTGGAGCAGGAGGTTTGGCTGAGCTGGTAGGACCATTGTAAGCGCACCTTTTCTGCTCCCCGCGAAGTAAGCCAGCACTTTCACAACTGCCCTGGAAAGCAGGTTACGCTCAACCATCTGACTTTGCTCTGAAAAAGATGGACAATCCTCTCTAGCTGCATAGAAGGGTTCATGTGAAAGAAACACTTTGGACCTGCGCCTGGTGACTCAGAAAAAGAGGGAGCACAAAGCTGAGCTTTCATTTGGAGGCAGTGGAAACAACTTAAACAATAGTCTTATTTTGGTACCAATTCCAATAAGCACAGACCATCCTGGCTCAAGCAACACGCCCATGAGTCATGCATATGCCTCATTCTCCGTGTACTTAATTGTTCCAGCACAGGTACAATCACAACAGGTTTCCAGAGTAACCCTGTTCAGTTTGGTCTTGTTTCCCAGATGAACTGATCCCACCTACCTGAAACTACTTAAAGCATCTGTGTAACGCTCATGTGAAGATGAATAATTGGCACGAAAGCAATGGAATCAGTGTACCTAACAGCTGACGCTCTGAAAAGTTTTACCTATAAATGAAGGGGTAGGGAATTAAAAGGTTTTGTACCAAAACATTTTCAAACCTAAACAGTAGTTTATTGAATTTGGAGACAGATGAGGTTACTTTTATTTTCAGTGGAATGCTTCAGAAAAAGTTTCACATTTTTTCATTCTGTTTGCTTTTGAACTCTGTTTTTTTGTTGAAGGGTTTGGAAAACCAAAGCAATTTTCTACCATCCTTCCTTTACCCTCTCACTTTCTCTTCATGCCTCCACTCCCTACAACACCAACAGGGAAGAGATCACTGGAGCTTTTCTTCTTCTCCTTTTCTCACTCTAAGTTTTCAAAAGACTTCCAGCTTGGGGGGATGGGGTTGAACAGATCAGCAGAAAGGGAAAAATTAAAGTCAGAGCTGCCCCAAGCTGTAGAAAAAGTTCATTTTACTGTACTAAGCTTCCAAAAGGAAATAGGCGGAGGGAGATCAGCAGAAAGGAAGCTTACAATTTTAATCTTTCTGGAGGAAAAAAAAAATCATTATATGTTTTGAATCAGGAGAAGTTTCCTATCTGAAGTCTGTCTGAAGGGAAGTAGGAATTAGCTTGGTATTCCCCAACCTCCAAGGTGTTTTGTTTTTGTTTTGTTCCTCCAGTTTCCACCTCACTGTTGCAAAATTGTAACTGAGAACCTGAAAAATGGTCATGCCCATGATGCAAAGTGGTTTCTCACTCCTGTATGCTGTATTGCACCCGGGATAATACACCACAAGACAGCTCTTCTATGCTTCCTGGGCACCTTCGCTGGCACATGGCAGCAGAGGCCCCTTCGAGTCCCCCTGCTCATCTCACCCCACGCACAGGCTGCCAGAACATGAAACCTTCTTCACAACAAGGTGAAGGGGGAACACAAATCTTTCCAAAGATGACAGAAAAGCAGTCAAGAGAATGCCTGTGCGCTACCAGCAGTAGTGCTGGGCAGGGGAAGAAGACTTCTCTGCCACTATTCCTCCACCATATGTCTCCAGCTTATCTCTTCTAGGCCTTGGCTTATAGGTATCAGGAGATAAAGCCCCGGGGTAAACGTGGCCTTCCACACAGGCTAATGGGACAGCCGCCATCGACAGCAACAGAGCTATGGACATCACCAGAGCTGCCTCCTGCCTGACCTGATCCGTACCCTGGAGGCTGCCTCAGCACACCCCGCGAGCAGCCCCCCATCCTGCCACATTCCTCCCAAAGCCACAAGAGTTTTAAAGAGAACATACACAGCATTTCTGGCTCCTAGCAGACAGGCAGGGTGTCCAAGTCCGCATCGTCATTGCAATATTAAAAACCCACCAAGGAAAATGACACTGCGGCTTGACCACATCTCCCCCCGTGTCCGCAGCCTGCCAGCACAACTGGGGACCAAACCGGGGACAAGCCAGTGTCCTGAGCTCACTGCCAGAAGAGAAGGGAGCAGATGAAGAGCCTGCAGCTTTCAGACCTACTGCAGACCTCAGCTGTGTTGCTTTGCTGCTCCCCAGTACTGTCTCCCCAGGAACAGAGGCGCACAAATACCCCCTGCACCACTCTCAACTGAAGGGCCAGGGAGAGTCTGCTCTTCCTCTCAAAGCCAGCAATCACGTTAACACCTTCCTTAATCAAGGTCTTGGAAGTGCTAAAAGCTATTTTACACTCAGAAAAATCAGTAAATAGGTCTGGCTGATTTTTAAAGGGAAACATTTCATTCCCACACGGTGCCTAATACAACTTATAAGTCAAGGTGTTTTACTTCAGTATTTCCTCTACTTACCCAGGCCTTCCACCACGCCATTGCAGTCTCAGTAGTGATACCTGGGTCTGTCGGAGAAGAAAACCACACATATCACACCTCGCAGTTAGGGAAACTGAGATTTGAAGGGGGTAGGGGGAGAAAAGAAAGAAAGAAAAATTCTTTTCAATAAGCTTACCACAAGAAAATTGGAATAACTGTACTCCTCAGGAGGCTTATTCCCTCTAGAAGCTGCAGAACGTAACTGGCCTCTCTGTGCTGGGAACACGCAGGTATAAATCATCCTTATCTACAAATTCCGTGGGGAAACGCCTTCAGACATGGCTCAACTTGTTTTTCACATATGATCTCACAGGGAGAGATCAAGTTGCTTAATAAACCAGGCTTCCCTTGTGAGGAGCCCTACATTCAACCCCGTTGACAAAAGCTCGTTGTAATTTTTCCACTGCTTCACCCGACACACACCCTTCCCTGCTAACATTTTGGCCTCTGGCACCAACACAAAATGCAAATTACAACCAGGTAATTTCTCCACTAAGACTCGGTTGACTTCTGCTGTAACAGAATAAGCCACTTTCTCATTCTTACGGACTCGTTCTCTCTCTACCAATCTGGAACACAGCAAAACAGGACTCTAGGAACTTAACAAACCCTCCTCCACTTCCCCTCCTTCAAAAAAGTTTATTTAAAAAACCAAACAAAACCCCAACAAACACAGCCACCCCCCACCACCACACAGGTCCTAGATCTTACAGTACAGCTCAGTAAAGCAGCAGACTGTACAGAGAGTTGGGAGGTTCCCCCCCAGCCCCCCTTCCCATACCTAGACTTGCATGCCATGACTCCAGAAGCATCTCTAGGCTAACATAGGACCAGCATATTTAAGGCTAACAACTTTCAGTAATGCCAGCCCCAGCAAAGCTGTCAAAGGACTTGCACTAGTGGCTGTGACATGTTAAGGCTTAGGAGTGAAGCGTGAAATGTTTTTTTTTTTTTTCTTTTCCTTTTTGTGTTTGTTTTAAAGAGAGCTGAACAGCTCTTAATGCTTTAATTTGGAGAAGTGTTTCTGTGAAATCAGCTATAATATCTTATGGTTGTAGCAATATTTTCCTGTCTAGACTTTTGTCAGAATCCACCCCTGCCAGCATTTATTTATTTATTTTAAATGGAAAGCTGCCCTGATGGAAACGTTCCCATCAGCTATAACTTAACCCTTGCTATATAGGAGCTTTGTCCCCTCTCACTTTTGCAGACCCACATGGGACATTGGTTAAACACCAAACTATGGGCCTCTCTTATTTCCTTCCCACACACTGCTATTTCACTTAACCCAGTGGGGTCCCTGATGGCCTGGGAAGCTGCCCCAGCTATTCCCAAGGGAACGAGCTGTGCCAGCTGCTCCCGCCTCGAGCGCGTCCATCACATGGCAAGGGCAAGTTGTGAAGGAGGAAGCATTGCCCTTGGCATAATACGTATGTCACTAGGGTCTGCTGCTGGCTTGGTTTCTCGCTGTGTTTGAGGGGCAGGCTCATCAACAGCACACAGCAAGGAGAGCTCATGTGTGGTCTTCAGTTCCCCCTTCCTCCTGGGAGTAAGGTGGATCTGCTTTTGCTGGATCCCAAGGCTGTGCCTGACTGGTTACATGTGCCTTTTCCCTGTGTTGGGATTTACTTGGGTCAGCTTGCCATGGAGGTCAGCTTTCTTGAGGACTCGAAGGACAAAGAAGCCCTTCTAGACAGAAAATCACAGAGTCACTGCAAACAGCTGTAGGTCACATAGGGGAGCAGAAACCAAACCAGACAGAAAATGGGAAAAAGCCCAAGTGATTGTTCTTGCCAGCATGAAACAAAAAGGCTGTAAAGGGTCACAACAGGGGATTTTAATGCAGAGAAACACTGACCAGATTTTAAGAAATCCATATGGATGGGCTAGGAAAGGTCTGGAGAACCTGGACCCTGCAGCAAGGCTCAGAGCAGTGCTGCACAGTCTTAATTCAGATGAGAGCAGTTGGCACTCGCAGGCCAGTGGGGCAGGAGGCAGACACTAAAGTCCAACATCTCTTTTGCTTGTGCAGATGCTGTTAAACTGAGCAGCTTTAAACACAAACAGACTCATCTTCACTACACTTCTTGTCATTCCCTTAACACACGTGCTCTGTGTGAGAGATTATGTATGGTTCATACACTTTATTAGGGTGTACCGGACATACACATCTTTCACAGCACCAGTAAGCTATATAAGGCACAGCCTCACATATAGCTCAGTGATGACCCTCAGAAAACTTCAGAAAAGGGGCAGAAGATGATGCACAGATTCTCCCAAGCCTCACTGTCCCACCCCACCCCCACAGGTCATTTTTGCACCTCAGATAATAGTCCTTTTTGGAAAGTGAACTCCAAATCCACTAACAAGACTGTCAGTAGAAATTCTGCCCAGCATCAGCTATCTGTGAGATGGTTACCTGGGCAGTGGCTCAATCGTGCACAGACATCGAGTACAGACATCCATAAAGTGTCTCCACAGTGAACTTTTCTCAAGCCTCATCCACGGGCCTCCTCAAGGCTTTCAGACAGTCCCTGCTCCTGCTGATATGCCCGGCACAGCCATCAGCCAGCAAGAATGGGCAGAAACCTACAGCAGAAGCAGCACACTCACCATAATCAGGTTTGGTTTGTGAGTTTTCAAGCCATTTGGTCCAAGTCAATTTTCAGCTAGACTAAATGGGTACTTTGCTTTTCTTGACTCTGCCCTTGGGACTTTCCAAGTTGGAATCAGTGACAGTGCAGCTACCCCGATATATACTCAGCCAGTATAAGGAAAGTTATAAAAGGTTTCACAAGGAGGATTTTGCTCAACCTTTTTCAAACCCCCAAAATATTTAAGGCATGAAATACAGGTGCTGATAGCCTTAGAACAGTACATTACTGGCACTGTTTCAAGAAGTTGTTACCACCCATTAAGCTCAGACTTCCTTGTTTTAGGTCAAAGAAGAGCAGTCTAAAAGATACTCTAATTTAGATTGAGGGTGACTAAAGTCTTGTAGGGTGCAGAGGCAACCCCCTTTTCCATCTGTAGGTTCCTAAAGTCTGGCCCTGTGCACTGGAAAGTTTCAGGCCAGGAGCTGACTGCTTTTGAACATGAAAGCTTATGGAAACCAGGTTCTCAACTGCTCAGCAATTTCACTTACTCCACAGCTTTCACTTCTATTAGACCTTTTTCAAGCCTAACAAGAACTGCACAGCCCATTGGGAATTTCACCCCAAAGTTTGTTTGGTTTGTTTGGTATTTTTCTCAGTCAGGAACTTGGAAGTCAAGTTGAATCATTGTGGAAACAACAGACCAAACACACAGAGATACTCTTATGCAAAATTAATATCTGATTAATCGTATAACATAACTACTTAAATTTGAAGAAATCAGAGCTCACCCCTCAGACCAAACAGGAGAGAGGTATTCTGTTACAAGGCTAAAAGATTAATAACTTTCTCCAATATAGTTTGTAAGTAATAGCACGTAAAACTGTAGCTCTGATGAGTAGACAGTTCAGCAAACTGCAGAATTTTCTTTCATACATAAAAGAAATCACCAGAGTCACGCAGTACTGTGCTTTCCAGGTCTAGACATAACCCCTTTGCTTACGAGTCTTTTGGCTCTACACCCATTATTAACAACACTTTGCCCTACCTTCCAGTGATTTACACCAGTCTCTTGCCCCAGCAGCTGCTGTGATTATGGACAGGCTTGCACTCTCTCACTGTGCAAACGATACTAGTTCCATCCTGCAGATTTTAAGCCAATGTGCAAACAAGTCCAGAGAAGATAAAGAACTACCTTCTGCTTCTCCTACTGCCTCCTCCCACCCCCCTTTTTTTCCCCTTTCTTCCTGTTTATCACTACTTAAATGGAGATGAACAGCTGAATGCCCTCACCATAAGAGCGAATGCCCTTACATCTACTAATCACCTCGCCGTCACCTGAAATCAGATCATTATATGGGAGAGCTGTGTAAATTTGCCAGCAAGCCAACTCAAACAAAAAGTTCTTGTCTGTTTATGAAAGAAGTGTGAGCTGGGGGAAACTAGCAGATGGGGAAGGCAGTATTTTTGAGAAAGGAGAGCAAAAATGCAAAAATATAGTCACTAATGCCTAAAAAAATCGTATCCACATACCTGGCATCTCAGTGCTCACCCTGCCCTTTCCTCTTGTGCCTTTGAACCATCTTTCACAGTGAAAACGACCCCAAAATAGGATTATTTCCATTTGAAAATCACTACCACAGCTTAATTTTCCAAGTTTCCTTTATTACCGCAAGCAGCTCTGTGCCAAGTATCACAAGAGAAAATCCACATCTAGGTGTTGCGGGGGGTGTTCAATCACAGAAGCAGCAATAGAGTAAAAACTCAGGGCTTGATCCCCCTTAGCACCTTCGTAGCTCAGGAGGACGAGCCCTGGGGTCAGCGAGGACAGCCGGTGCTGCAGGGGACTTTGCACAGAGGTTTGCAGAGGTTAGCGAAGGGTGTGCTGACTTTGCCTTTCCGGAGCACCTTTGGTACACAGGGCCCCTCTGCTGCTGGTGGGAGAGCCGGGGTGAGGCACGAACTCAAACACGGCCGCACACGTCCCCTTGCCTTGCTCTGGTTCCACTCTGCTTCTGGCTGACTCTGCCTGAGCATTTTTCTACTCATTCCTTTCCTGCAGCTCCTGCTGGTGCCAAGGAATTCCTCCCAGTCACCCTAACAACCGTTCCCCACACAAAGCAGGCAATTGCGCTCCTGTTTAACCCCAAAGGCCAACAGAGAAAGCAGCCCCTGAATCAAATGGGCAAAGACAGCTCACTTGGGTCTGATGGGGACGTGACAGATGCCAGGAGTTCCAATGCCAGCAGCGGGTGGGATGCAGCATTCGGGAAGCCTTCGGATGCTTGTGTGCAAAATACTTTGTGCGTGTCCTCACCTGTCTCTACGGGGATTATTTTCTGTGTAGTCCTTGATGAAATAAGTACAGGTGTCTGTACAAAATTAAAGACAGTCCTGCTGTTTCAA